GATCAATGATTTAAAAGAGTCATCACAGAGTCATCACAAACAGAAAACTTTTCATCATTCTAATTATGCATAAGCATTGAATATTTGCTGAATTGAGAAAGCAGCAAGATAAAAATTGACCTTTGTTTTTTTTTCTTTCTTTGCGGGGGTTTTTTTGGTGCTGGGAATCAAATGCCAGAGCTTGTACTTGCGAGGGAGGCAGTGGAACCACTGAGCTAAATCCCCAGCCCTAAAAGTTGACCTGTGAATGTATCTTATTCAATTAAAAATATTTCACAATGCTTTAGTTGTCTTTATTTGTTATGACTTTACTTTTTATTTTTAATGTTTTATTCCAGCTTTCTGTACATGTAGAGCATCCAGTATTAGGTTTATTATTTTTAAACTAAAACCTGTTCTTTCATTAATCTTAAATGTATAAAATGTTTCACATTTTATTAGGTGAAATTAATATATTTACCATGTACTTTATAACAATGCAGTCTATCTTTCAAACTTAGTTTGAGATCTGAGTTTTCATTTGAGGTAATGGATTCAACACCAAACTACTTTTCAGTAGTTATATTGATGTGCAATTCACATATTATACAATTTATCCTTTATAATACATAAAATTCAGTGCACAGTGTACTTACAAGTTGTAAACTATCACCATTTCGAATACCCGCTCCCCAAGAGAGAAATCATATCCATTACCAGTCATTCTCCATACTTCCAGCATCCTCAGCGTTAGGCAAGGGCAAATCCTTTTTTCTGTCTCTGTAGATTTCTTCAGTTTGAGAAACTGCAAACTGTTAATAGATGTACTTGCTGAGGGTATGTGAGAGTTTGTTTTAGAATAAAAGGGAATAGCAAATAAAATTTGTGCTCAGATTGAAGCAATAGAGTTTTTATTTATCTGGTTAAATATTTTTTTCATACTTCTGAAAATAATAAAATGTATCTGAACTTCTGTCACCCTTGCTTTATTATTCAAGATTAAGTTAGTAGTACACAACTGATGAAAAGGAAGCCATCCTCCAAGTACTCCTGCTCATAATCAATTGATGAAGAAAATCTAAATTTCAGACTCAGGGAAGTTAAATTGCCAGTCTTTTTTAAAATAAAAAATTTCTTTTCTAGCCAATCATGAATTTCCAAAAGTATCCTTTCCAGAAAGGAGATATTTACCTCATTAAACTTTTGTGTGAGTACCATTTGCAGTTGAAAAACTAACAATTAGTTGAAGTATGCCATCTGTTTGTTTTCTAAATCTCTAATGTAAAAGACACCTCTTCAAATAGAACCTCCTCTAGAGTGCCTCCCACCACCACAGGACAGGGGATTGAAACAGGACCTAGCTAAATTGCCCAGGCTGGGCTGGAATGTACCATCCTCTTGCCTCAACCTTCCAGAGTGTTGGAATTCCAGGCATACAGCTTGATTTTGCATTATTATGTCCTAGCGCAGAGCATAAAACATTCCTAGGAACTTTCAATTAGTATATAGTTTAGCTGCTGTCACTAATTTAAAAATGCATGTAAGCTGAATAAAAAAATTGGGGCCTTCTACTTAAAAATGTGATATCTATTGTTTAATATGTTTCCTATTGAAATAATAAATCTCAACTACTAAAATATGTGAATAGGTCCTACTAATATTATCCCTAATTACACATTTTAATCTTTGCCCTAAAATATATATATTGTATACAAACTAGATACTAATATGTTTGTTATCAGCGTTGTACCAAATCCAAGGAGATGATGTACAGTGCACCATCTTGTATTCGGAAGCTTTCTCCGGTGGTTGTGTCTTTTGTAATTGCTCCTTTGATTTGCCAAATTCTGTTGAATTTCTGATCATCGTTCCAGGTGTCATTTAAGAGTCTACTCTATAGCTCTCTTGACATGATATAGTCAATTTAAAGAGCTGTAACATGTTAGATAAAGGAAGAGGTTTTAAGGGAGGGTAGGGAGATGGGAAAAAATAAGAATCAAGATATATCATGTATAGGTATAGATTTCCTATATGAATGTAATCATTATATATACCTAAAATGTACCAGTAAACTTAATTAAAAATAAATAATCCACTAGAACTTGAAATAGAAGCACGTAAAATCTAAGTTAATAAATAACACAATAAGAAAATTGGTTATTTGTGCTTCAGAGTCTAAATAAAATTCAGTGAAAGAAAACAAAAATGTTTTCAACAGAAGGTGGAAGAAATAGAGAGGTTAAAACGCCCACTATATGGTTCCATTTATATAAACTTCCTAGACAGGCAAAAACAACAGTGATACAATTTAGAAAGTGGTAAAGAAGAAAGATGAAAGTGTTCTTGTCTTCACTGAGGTGGCCATTACACTACTGCAAATATTTATCAAAACCAACAGAAATCCACATTTAAAATATGCACATCATATGTAAATTATACTTCATTAAAGGTGATTTCTTTAGAATTTAAAGTAGGCAGTAGGTACTCTGGTCCATCCTGGTCCTATTTTCATTTTGAATGGAAGAAGGCAACTTCTTTTTAAATGAGTATGAATATCCAAAGAAGATCAAACTCTTTTGTAAAGGTAGCATTTACTCATCCTGCTCTGGACTGAGTACTTGCATTTTAATGACAACCGAACCACAGCAAGACTGTCATTTGTTTGAAAGACATTCCACTTTCAAAGCCTACTCTTGCCCTATTATTTCAGCTGTTTGAGAAGTAAAGAAATAAACTTATCCATTAAATTTTTATGGATTCTTATGACTTTGAAAGCATAATTTTCAATTAAAACTACTATTTTATTATATCTTCCTTAGGGTAAGCTGAAAACAAAAATAGCAATAATTTTTGTAGGAAAACGGGCAAAATCTGTGTTGAACTATCACAAGTATCACTCTTAATGCCTCATTATAAATCCCTTATGAATAGTGTGAAAAGTAGTGGAATTATACATGTGAAATTTTAAAATATTCTATGCATTATTTTTGTACAAAAGAACTATATAATACAAAAGGATAAAAATCAAAGTCATTGTGGGAATTTTAAAATAATAAGGTGAAGAGAAATTTGAAATGACACAATGTCTACTATAACATATATTTTAACTTGATATATAAATAGCTGAGGAAAAAAGCCTGTATAATACATGCCAAATATTAATATAAGGAATACCATTGTTAAGAAATAAACAAATGGAGACAAGATTTAATTTTACTTAAGGTATAGTATTCCAAACGTTTTCAAAATTAATTCACATTTTAGAAACTTACACTGCAGCGTTAAGACATCAGGGGAAAAAAAATGTATTTATCTGGCAAGTCTTGAGAAAAATTTTCAAGTTATCAGATTAGGCGATTTTTATGAAAGAGCACAAATGCTTCATTATAAAATGTCAGTCTTCCCCAAGGTGGGTGGAGAATCTGCAATAAATAAATCCCAAATGACTCATCAATCACAATCGTAGCTCACATTGTCCTCACTGTACTAATCACAGTTGGCCAGTAGGAGGCAGTAATTTCATTTTTCCCAGTTGTGTGGCCACAGCCCCTGCATTCCCACCAAGGGCACTTGTACAGTTAAGATTTTAGTGGGAACTACAACAGGTAGACTGGGTCATTACTGTGTGTTGGGATTGTCTTATGCTTCTCTGCAATCCAGTGTATAAGTGGTATTGTACTAATTTAGTCACCAGCTTCTTCACCAAGTATGAAGCCTCATCATTGCTACAAGATTGCTAGGAATTTTGGAACTCTGCTTCGGGATAGACAGAAGCAGCTTTATATCCCTTTTTCCCAGGAAATCATTTTTATTTACTGTAGGTCTGTTACTGTTTCACTAAAATAGAGGTTCAATGTGGACAGTTTGCTCTTATTTAGATAAATATTTGCACTAATTGGAATACAAACAGAGGCAAGTAAATACTGGAAAAAATTTATAAACATTAAATATATTTTCCTAAAATAAATAAATAAATAAATAAATTTTTCTAAATTTAGATTAAAACAAAGTTTTTAGCGTAGTTTTCACTAATTAGAAGTCTTACTTTTTCCTGCCACAAGGAATGAAAAATATAACAATTTGTTGATATAGTGCATTTTATCTTGGGTTATATAAGAGAAAGTCATATTAAATTGTGGCTTTAAAATTATTTTAATTCTTTAAAGCTATCTCAATATACTTAAATAATATAATAATTAACATTTTGTGTGTATTTCTCATTCCTCTCTTTTACTTTCTTGGCTGAATTGAAAATATTTTAAGAATATTCCTCTGGCAGGGCATGGTGGCACACTCCTGTAATCCCAGCACTCGGGAGGCTGAGGCAGGAGGATCTCTGTGAGTTCGAGACCAGCATGGGCTACATACTGAATTCCAGATCAGTCTCAACTACATAGTGAGACCATGTCTCAAAAAACAAAACAAAAAAAAAACAAAAAAATCCCTCTATTTAGAGTATTTTGGTGATGTCTTACATGTTTTGGGAACTTTTTCGTGCTTTAAATTTGTTTAATTTTAACATTATTCCACCATATTCATCATCATATTACAAAAAATATAGCTGGCTAATATTTCTTTCAATTTCCCTTTACAATTCCCAGATAAATATTGGCAATTTATACTGTGATGGGAATTTATACTACAATGCTGATTTTCAAACATTTTACCTTCTAGAGCCTAATAGCACTGTATGAGTCAAACACCTATGGGTCAAATACTATTCCTGCTCTGTACACTGTTTTCTGTGAATAATGGTTCAACATAACATTTTATTTAGAATTTTGTTGACTCATTTACAATAATTAACTGATATTTAATTTCCTCTTTAGCCAAAGGATGAACATTGACATACTTCTGTACTAATATTTTAATTTTTAAAATGTTTTTTATATGTGTCAGCTTGGATAACAGCCTCACTGCATTTCAGTCATGCTTTATATGTATGTGAAAGCAGTGTAGGTAGCTTAAATAGCACTTTATTTATAGAATTCTTATTGAATTTTCTCCAATGTTTGCTTTTAGGGTTGTCAGCTAATGTCCACGAGCACAGGCCAACGAGTACCATCCTTCAAAAATAATTGTAAGTATACCCATGAGCATGAGGACTCTTATTTTGCAATAATATTTAACTATTTTATTTAGGTAATTCCTGCCATTTTGCTGACTTAAACTGACCTTTGAACGAGTAAAACATATGTCATTAGTGGCTAACCGTATCTGAAAAAGAATATTATTTAATAGGTAAACAGCATTTTTAATGTAACCAAAATGTATCTCCTTTTTTTTTTTTTTGTTTTGGCTCTGGAGAAAATTGCAACATGAAATCAGTAAATTTTTTCTAGGAATTTATTTATATATTTTTGTTGTTGTTGTTATTTTTGATACTGGGGGTCGAACTCGGGTCCTTGTGCTTGCAAGGAAGGCAGTGGAACCACTGAGCTAAATCCCCAGCCCTATTCTCCTCTTATTTTTATTACCAAGTAGTGTGTGCTGACCACCACTCCAACATATGTATAGGTTTATAGGAAGTAGCTATAAAATAAGACTGTATAAACTGGAAAAATTTAATGAAGACAGTACAAATATTCATTTTTCTTCTTCACTGACAAACTCTTAGGTGCACAAAAAAGTGCAGGAAATTCAACTATTGTTTTCCTGTGGTAGAGTTTAGAAAGTGAAATTCTCCAAAAGGTTTTTTTGTTTTGTTTTGTTTTACTTTTGTGATACCAGGATTTGAGCTCAGGACCTTGTGCTTTAGAGGCAGGCGTGGAACCACTGAGCTAAATCCCCAGGCTTCCACCAGAGTTTTGATAGTTGAGGGCTAAGAGTGTAGGTGAATAGTAGAGCACTACTAGCCCTGGGTTCCATCCCCAGCATTGAAAAAAAAAATCTTAATGGATGGACCTAAAAATACCAGAATAAAGGAAGAAGAAACAGAAAACTTAGTTTCTTAAAAAGGAGATACCAGGGCTGTGGATTTAGCTTAGTGGTGCCTGCTGCCTGACTGGCAAGTGCAAGGTCCTGAGTTCGATCCCCAGTACCAAAAAAGAGAGAGATATCAATTATGAAAGTTGAAAAACAAGGTAGAAAATTCTACATTCTAGAGATTTCCAGAACATGATTATTTGATTGAGAAAATGTATTACAAGTTATTCAGAGTGGGTCAAAATTGAATATCTTATTTTAAACACCATTTAGGAAATTCTTTTTTTTTTCAGTTTTAATTGAGTTTATTGGCACATTTTAGGGATACAGTACAGTTACATTCATTGTTGGGATCTTGTACCTCTGCATGACAGGTCTTGGTTCTCATTTTTTCCCCTTTTCCCTGCCCTCCCTTCACCCCCTCCTCCCCTCTCCATTTACAACCACTTTATTTCCATCTTTTCATTATCTCACATTTTTTTCTTTTCCCTTATTACCTTTCCCCTAACCATCCCACTTTCCCTACACCTTTAGCTCCTTTCTTCCCATTTCTCAATGCCAGTAATCTTATTAGGATCTTCTGTATTATTGCAGATTATTTACACCAGAGAAACTATTCGGTATTTACACATGTGTGCCTTATTTATTTCACTTAGGAGTATATCTTCAATATGCATCCATTTTCCTATGAATGAATCTATTTTCTCATTCTTTATGGCTGAGTAATATTCCATTTTATAGAAAAACCACATCTTTATCCAGTTTCCAACTGATGGGCAAATAAGCTGTTTCCAAATTTTAGCTATTACAAACTATGTCACTATAAACATGGGTGCTCATGGAAATTCTTAATTAAATTTCTGACTGTTCTCACAGTCATATACATATATTGAATACCACAAAGTGTTTTTAGAATGAGAGTTTTGGACAAGGAATTGAGGCTAACTCATTTTTTATGGTAAAATTTTGTTGTACTTATTTTTTGCAATACTGAGGATTGACCCTAGGGCTCTACACATGCTAAACAAGTGCTCTACCGCTGAGCTGCATCTTTTGCCCTTTTATGTTTTATTTTCAGATGAGATCTCACTAAGTTCTCTAGGCTAGCCTCAAATTTGTGATCCTCCTGCCTCAGCCTCCAGGGTACCTGAGATTATAGTCATGGGCCCCTAAACCCAGCATAAAATTTTAACACACACTTTTAGTATAATATCAATGCCTATTTATTATATAAAAAAGTAAATAATACAGAATACAAAAATAAAGTAAAAAGTGGAATCCATCAAAATTTGAGAAAGGTTAGGGTTGAAATAGGGTTGGGACTGTTTGCTCCACAATGGCAAAAAATTTAAAAAGAATAAAACGATATTCCATCAAAGACAGTTGCATCAAAACGGTTGTGTTGAAATACATCCATAGAATGACCAACATCAAATAATCCTCCTTTGTTAACAAGTCACTCTTTAAGATGATGGCAAAGGTAATATTTCCTTTATTTATATGCATTGAAAGAGTTCTGATGCTCTAAATAGTTTTCCAGCTGGGCATGGTGGTGCACACCTACAATCCCAGCACTTGGAAGGCTGAGGCAGGGGATCGCCGGGAGTTTGAGGCCAGCCTGGGCTACACAGTGAGTTCAAGGCCAGCCTGAACTACATAGTGAGACCTTGTCTTAATATAAAAAATGAGAGAGAGAGAGAGAGAAGAGAAAGGAAAGAAAGAAAGAAAGAAAGGATTTTCCATGTGTGTGTTGGAGAGGGGGTCAAAAAGAAAATTTATAGGGAAATTTGAAAAGTATAAAGTTTGAAATTTTCACAAGCCTCAGTAGTTGTACTTATGCACACATGGTAAGTTTATGAAGATCCAAGCGCACCTGCAGATGTTTTTACTGAGTTGGTGAAATAGGTTAACGTGGATGTGCAGGTAAGTTTACACACTCAGGCTTCAAACAATGCTCACGCAAGATCGTCTCTTCCACATATCGATGGCATCGTAAGTCCTGCCCAGTGGTCAAGACCAGGGTCAGCCTTACCAGAATATGAAGTAAGCCAATTTCATCTTCAGCATCTCCCTTTCAGCACTGTTCTGTATTTACCCTCTTGTCTTTCTAATTTATACAAGATTCAGTAGTTTTTTTTTAAAAAAAGTCACTTTATTTGTCTCTAATTAGTAATACTTCCCTAAAACCCTACTTATGCATATACATAAGTACATGCTACTGTGGTTGATGCATATGTATATTTACATTATATATAAATATTTATATAAAAATATTAATATATAAATATATTAGATATATGTTTACAGTATTTAATATTGCCTGTGAAATGTGATCAATTGGACAACTGTGTTCCTCCTGAGCTGGGTAAGGTTTGTAATAGCAGTAAGTATTAATAGTAAATTTTTTTTTTAATCACATCACCATTTAATATTCTTCACAAAAAAGTTAATGTAATGAAGAAATAGTGCACATACATTCCCTGCAGACTGTCACAACAGGATTTATACTTGTTACTTTCTTGGGTTTTTTTGTTTTTGTTTTTGTTTTTTTTTTGGTGCTGGGGACCGAACTCAGGTCCTTGTGCTTGTGAGGCAGGCGCCGGAACCACTGAGCCAAATCCCCAGCCCTTTTTTCTGTTTGTTTTTTTTTTCCACTTGTTACTTTCTTGACAGCTGTAATAATTCAGGAATTTTTATCTTTTAATATACAGACTTGTGCTGATACAAATAAATACAAGTTCAGTTAACAGAATTTTTTTCAATATGTATTCTCTATTGTATAACTGAAAAATATATCTATTTCAGAGTTCTTTACTCTAGGCTACAATTACTTTAATAAAGATAAAAGTATGGGCTGGGGATTTGGCTCAGTGGTTCTGCCACCTGCCTTGCAAGTGCAAGGGCCTGGGTTTGATCAGGGGTACCAAAAAAAAAAAAGATATAAGTAGACCATATCAAGAATCAAGCATTACCTACATTGATTGCTGCATTATTTTATATTCCCATTTATTGTCATTTGTTTTATTCACAAATATTTTAATTTCTTGTATTTATTAGAATAATTATATTTTTCACACTTCAACCGTTCCTTTGGCTAAATTAAATGATATCTAATAAAAAAAAGCTATGAAAGAAGAACAGGATTGGATTTTAAGTAATGGAATATATGTTCTGTACAAAGTACATACATTTTTAATCACTTGGAACTAACATGATGTCTTGAACATTTTATATATAATGTATAGATAGATAGATAGATAGATATATACACACACACACACACACTCAAAAATTAATTTTGATAATAACTACTGAGTTTATAATGACAAAATAATAGCACCTCCAGATGAGCTATAGTCAGGCATGCATTTCATTTTTAAATGAGCATATACATGTTTGAACCATGGAAAAAACTGGACTTTATACACCCACACTCTGCAGCTTTTACTTTTATTGATAATCTAAGATTTTAAGTGATCTTTTGTAGCAATCAATTTAACTCAAAGGATATGGGATTAACCAAGTACTTGAAGAAGGAATTACTGTCCCCAAAGCATATATAAATAAAATAATGATAATTTAAAATTCTTATCCATAAAAAAGAAGTGATTACTGTATTTAATAATCTAATTGAGCCCTCTGGTAACTGGAAGGACTATACAACATACATATCCATTCTCACTTCTGCCAAAATCCAAAGCGGCTAACAACATAATTTAAAGTGCACACATTTTAAAATATTTCAACTTTGGCAAAATAAGTGAATGCTACTTTACTGTGATTATTTTTTTCCTCCAATATCAGGGATTGAACTTTAGACCTTGTACTTGCCAAGGCAGGCACAGCGCCATTGAACTACATCACCAGCCTTTATTGCTCTATTTTGAAAAGGGAAGTAGCCAAATGTTTTCAAGGTAGAGTTAAGAGCCCGGGGTGGTGGCGCATGCCTGTAATCCCCGCACTCAGGAGACTGAGACTGGAGAATCAACAGGAGTTCAAGGCCATCCTGGGCTACAGAGTGAGTTCAAGGATAACCTGAACTATATAGTGAGACCCTGTCTCAATAAGAAAGAAAAGATATAGTTAAATGTCCATCCATAAATAAATGTCAAAATTTTTTCTACATATGGTTTTGGTTTTTGAGCATACACCTTT